TTCCTGATCACACAAGGAACAGAGAAACATGAGAATTAAAACAGCTAATGATACAGCCACTGATCACACACAGTATTCCTGCCTATAAACAACGATGTGACTTTAGACGTTTCTATACTTTTTAAAAAAGATTTTATTTAGGGCGCCTGGGTGGCTCAGTCGGTTAAGCGACTGCCTTCGGCTCAGGTCATGATCCTGGAGTCCCGGGATCGAGTCCCGCATCGGGCTCCCTGCTCGGCAGGGAGCCTGCTTCTGCCTCTGACCCTCCCCCCTCTCATGTGCTCTCTCTCTCTCATTCTCTCTGTCTCAAATAAATAAATAAAATCTTTAAAAAAAAAAAAAAGATTTTATTTATTTATTTTGATAGAGAGAGAGAGACGGTGGGCGTGAGTGGGGGGGGAGGGGCAGAGGCAGAGGAGAGGGAGAATCTCAAGCAGACTCCCCGCTGAGCTTGGAGCCAGATGGATGAATGGACGTGGGGCTCAATCTCAGGACCTTGAGGTCATGACCTGAGCCGAAATCAAGAGTCAGACACTCAATCCACTGAGCCACCCAGGGGCCCTTAGACTTTTCTATACTTTAAGCTGACACACATAAGTAAAAAAAGGTGATACTGCAGCCTATCCTACCTCATAGCAAACCTGTGAAAACAATTGGTGGGATATTAATAGATTCCCCGCAGCAGACATGACTGAGCTTGAATTTAATTTTCTGGCTTGGGCAGGTCTTCCTGAGCTGGAAAGTGGTAAGTATCTTCTCTCAACACTCCTGTTAGGAGTCTCCACGGTGACCGAGTGTAAAGCCCGGATTGCTGCTTAGCAGCCATTGGCACGGTCTCACATATGGCCAAGCAGCTCTTCCTTCTTAGCGGCCTTTCTTAGTGCTCTCAGTGACCACAGAGGAAATGCAGCCTGGGGCTTGCGTGTAACTTGGAAGCTCGCTTCCAGAGCACAGGACACAGCGGGGCAACGTACACACACAGGCACACCCACGTACGGGCAGTCAGACACACGGATGTATACATATGTCCACTCATGGACACAATAACATACAGATACGTCCACACGATCCTTCGCATGTATACACAGACAAGACAGGTGTAGATGGTGAAACAAACACACACAGACGCACACACCTATCCACACATGCAGACGGAGACAGAGACACGGATACGTGCATATGCCCACACATGTACACAAAGAGACACACAAATACACACCTACGCCCACACACACAGACAAGACAGACACAGTCAGACGGATACACACACATACACCTACACATGTACTTGTATACAGATGCACACAGATACACACACCCACAGGCTCCTACCCAAAGACAGAGACAGGCACACACAAATCCACATAAACACCCACACTACACACTCTCCCCAGGCACAAGCATTATGGCCAACAGTGTGGGGGTGCATGGCGTGAGAGGAAGCAGCACCCCTACCCTGCCCATACAACACAGAGTCCATCCACTGCAGGCGTTGCCTTCCCAAGGAGGCAGAAAATAGGCCTCATGATATTAACTATTATTATCATTTCTAATATAACATGCTCTAACTCTAAACAGGATCTTCATGTGTTTGGGGTGTGTGGGTGTTTTCAGAGTTCCACATATAGCAGTTATATTTCAATTCTAAAGATCTAGTTGGCAGCCCTAGGCTCTCGCTGTCTGCATCCAATTTATCAATCTTCAGGGAAGCTGATGACAGTCAAGCTCTCCCCTCTGCCCCAGATTAAGACACTTGCCAAGCTGACAACGGGCACGGCTGCATCTCTCTATCTAGACTCCCTGCTGGATTCACGTCAAAGGCCACATATCTGAAAATTCAAAATCTTTCCCAATGACAAGTATTAGACACAGCTGTCCAGAAAAGGGCTGTCCAGCAGATAGGAGGCAAACCCCAATAAACAGCCAAGGCTGCAGTTAGCGGGTCCCAGCATCCCCCTTTTGGAGTGTCCTCTCCTTTCTGCCTCTCTTCCTGGACTAAAGATACTGCTACTTTCCTCTGTACTTTCAATTACAGTGGTTCCCCCTTATCTGTGGGGGACATGTTCCAGGACCCCCAGTGGATGCCTGAAACCTCACATAGTACCAAACCCTATACATACTACATTTTCTTCCTATACATATATACCTACAGATAAAGTTTAATTTATAAATCAGTCACAGAAGAAATTAACAATAATAAATAAGAATAAATTAGAACAATGATCACAATATACTGTAATAAAAGTTATGTGAATGCAGTCTCTCTCACAATATCTAACTGTACTGTGTACACCCTTCTTCTGATGATGATGATGATGAAGAGATGATGGCATGCCTACCTGTTGATGAGCCACAACTGACTCCAGGTAACTGAAACCATGGACAGTGAAAGTCAGGAGACCCAGATCTAAACGTACAGTTGTTTTCTATCAGTGTGTTTGCTTATGCAGTAGAAAGATAGCTGGGCATTTCAGAACTCCTAGGCATCCTGTAAGATTCAGTTTCTCTTCTTCAAGAAACCTTCCTTAACTACTCCGCAACAACCCCATCCCCATTGTCCAGCTTAGATAGCCCTTTCCTGGGTACTCCCAGCACCCTCCATGGACTTCCACTGTTGCCCTTAACTCATTGTTTTACATCTCTTTATGTGGCCATGTTTTCCATCACACTGCAAATTCTTCATGGGTATGCTCAATTTGTCATTTCAGGACCAGGCACATACAAAATAGATACTCAATAAAAATGTGGTAAGAAAAATTCTCAATTAAGGTTCCATATTTATCACTGGGATTGTCAGGCACTCGTGTGGCTTTATGGGAATTCCCATGAAGGTAATCTATCTCTGATAATGCATTAACAGAAAGTAAATGTGACATGAAGTTGAGGTGGCAAGTTCTCAGCCTTGAGCACACAAGGGTGGCTCATAACTGTCTGATAGAATTAACCCTTGAGGAGATATTTTCATCATGATACAATGTTTGCCATTTGAAATTCTTCAATTGTATTCATTGCTCTTCATTACTATTTGTTCTTTGAGGACCATAAAAACTTTCTTGCTCAGGGGAATCAACATGTTTCAGAGACATTTGTTATTTTCATTACTGAAGAATTTTAAAATAAAGAATGCTAAGTATTTTTTTAAATTTTTTTATTGTTATGTTAATCACCATACATTACATCATTAGTTTTAGATGTAGTGTTCCATGATTCACTGTTTGTGCATAATACCCAGTGCTCCATGCAGAACGTGCCCTCTTTAATACCCATCACCAGGATAACCCATCCTCCCACCCCCTCCCCTGAATGCTAAGTATTTTTAATCAGCTGAAACCTATCATACACCATCTGATCACACAATGCTTCTTTGACATTCCTGAGAAATATGTTCAGAACTCCAGTTACATGAGGGGGGTAGGAGTGGAGCCATCAGATAGGTTATTCACTAGTAAAATGACTCCCATGTATGAATCTTGTACCAAGGCAATCTAAATTTGGCCAGGTAAATCATGTTTGATCTTCACAGCAATGTGATGGAGACAAGTATTAACCCCATTCAAAATTGTCATGTATCTTAGACCTCTGAGCCCCTCACAAATAATTTTAATCACAAATGCTAAAACAGCAAATGTGGAGACTCTACAGGTCTGACAATGGCAAAACTCAAGAGCTGTTGAATGCTTTAAGAATTTTCTGCAGTGTAGGGGTACCTGGGTCGTTCAGTTGGTTAAGCGTCAGACTCTTAGTTTCAGCTCAGGTCAAAATCTCAGGGCCGGGGTGCCTGGGTGGCTCAGTTGTTAAGTGTCTGCCTTCGGCTCAGGTCATGATTCCAGGGTCCTGGGATCGAGCCCCACATTGGGCTCCTTGCTCAGCGGGAAGCCTACTTCTCCCTCTCCCACTCCCCCTGCTTGTGTTCCCTCTCTCACTGTGTCTCTCTCTGTCAATTAAATAAATAAAATCTTAAAAAAAAAATCTCAGGACCGTGGGATCAAGCCCCACATTGGGCTCCACACTAAGTGCGGAGCCGGCTTGGGATTCTCTCTCCCTCTGCACCCGCCTCAAAATAAATAAAATCTTAAAAAAAAATTTCTGCAGTGTAATGCCTTTGTTGTTTACCATAGAAAATGAAACAGGTGTTTTTAATGGAGTAAATCAGAGGGCCAGGTTTATTTAAAATATCACAGAACTTTTAATCCAAGTTAATACTACCAATGGTGAAGCTAATTAGGATTACAATTAGCCTTACAATTTTACAGATTTTACAATTTAAAAATTTTACAATTTGGCCTTGTCAAAGACCAATGTCTTCTGCAAGAGGCACTGCCACATGCAATAATAATCAGTAGCTGAAGGCTGAGGAAAATTCTGTGTTCCTATACTGATATTCTATACTTCTGGTTTTTGAGTTCTGAACTAGATCTTTTGCATCATTTTTTCAGTTTTGTTTTGCTTTTAATCAGTAGTCTTAAACTCCTCACAAACTAGGTCATGAGATTAAAATTCCTTATCTCCTCATAAAAATTATGATCAGTGTATTTTGTTGTGTGTAAATTATACCTCAATTAAAAACAGAGCTCCTTATCTCACAAGAACAAAAAATTATGTTTCTAGGTTAAGTGGAGTGAGATACTGCAGCTCCAAGTGCGTTTGTTTGTTTGTTTTAGTATAAACATGAATAAATAAATTCATAGCTCTATTTAGAAATGTGAACTACACGCTGCTTATATGTTTTCAATTGTTCAAAGGGAAACAATGGGAAGGGACAGGATCTAGCACTGACATTTCATTCATGGTTTGTGTTAGGCAATTGCTAGAAAGGAGGAGGGTTTAAGAGCGTGAAAATCATGAATAAATCTTTTCCAATTGGAAAGAAACCATTATAGCCTTTTATGGAGATCTGGGGAGTATCCAATAACAAACTTTCTTCATCATGTATGGTTATGACCAGAAATGGGAAAGGAAGTGTGTGTGTGTGTGTGTGTGTTTTAAGAGAAAGTGGAAAAAGGAGATGGAGGAAGGGATTGGCTTAGATGACTGGTAAGATCCCTCCCAAGTTACAAATTCTGTGTGTCCTATGAGAGGTAGACATGTCAAAGGAAAAAAAAAGCTAAACAAATAAAAAGAAAACACCGAATAAGCTGCAAATGGTGGAGAGGAGGAGAAAAATGATCATCTCTTGAGTGTTTACTATGAGCCAGATGAACCCTCCTGGTAACCTTAACAGGTAAGTACAATTTTTCCTATGTTACAAATGAAGAAATTACTGTTCAAAGAGATTTAATAACTTAGCCAAGTTCTTCCGGTGAGAGGAAAGGCTGGGGGTTTCAGTCTGACATTTGGCTGACTCCAAAGCCTGTCCTCTTCCCACAGCCCATTTGGCTTTGAACCCCAAAGCCATCCTCAGATACAGGAAGCAAGTCCAGCCTGTCCACTGATTAAATTGTTATGTAGCCGAAATGCACTCTGCTGGTGGATGAGATACAGTGGGCTGAGGTTGCCAGGTAAGACTGCCATGGTGTTTTAGGAAGATCTCAACTCTGTGGGTCTCTCGCATGGGGCATCACTGCTTCAATTTGCCAACTGAATGGAGATATGGCTGTTCTTTAACCCAGAGAGATGCAACTCCAGAATAGGAGCTCTTTATAAATTAGTCTTGTCCCATTATTTTATATGGACCACCTGCTTAGGCTAGCACTTAATATCTGGAAAATAGACACGTGATGTGCACTAGCCACAATATTTTACCTTGGGAATAAAAATTTATACACAAATACTCTTTTCTCTCTATTTAATGTAAGCATTTAAATGCTCTGTTGAAACTGCCCTTCTCAGTAAGAAAAGCTAGAGAAGGCCGGAGAACATTCGCATTCCAAGGACCGCAGAGGGCCCATGAACAAACAGCACAGTTGGAAATCAGCCAGATGGGACAAAGGTCTTAAACATTAAGTCCACACATATTCTATTACTTGTCATCACAACCACACTGTTTTTTCTTTTTCATACACAATTCTTTACCCCATAACATTTTCTGTTAACTTACCAATAATGTAATTTTATCATGACCTCTCAACCCTGTAACATATTTGCAACAGCAAATTACATTTTTCACTGAAGTAATATAACACTTGCTATAGGATTCTGATTTTGCTCAAGTAGAGCGGTACATAAATTCACAAGCTTTGTGTTAATTATTCTATTATTATGTAGAACATTCATTCATTTATTCATTCACTCAACAAATATTATTCAAAATTCTAGTCTGAGCAAGTCTCAGTCCTGACACCAGGGATACAGCAGCGAATAAAGCAAAGTCCATGGATTTCACATGCTAGTGAGGAGCTAGACAATAAAGAAATAAATATATGCGTAATAAAATACTAAGCGGTTGTTAAGTGCTATGAAGAAATATCAGTTAAGGTAAGGCTATGCAGGGTGATAAAGGGGGTTATTTTAGACTGTGGTTGAGAAGGGGCGTTTGAGTACAGACCTAAATCAAAATATGGGAATAATCCCTGCAACTCTCAGGAGGAAGAGCATTTCATTCCAGGCAGAAAAACAGCAACTACAAAGGCTTGAGGCTTTTCGTTAGAAGGTTTTTGGGCTGACATTCTCCTGTGATTGCAGATAATAAAACTGCCTATTAGAGTTCTGAGCCAAAGTCAACAGAAAGCCTCATTTTTTCCTTCAGTAAATACATGTACAGAGGTATATAAAAATGTATACATTTATAACAGTGTTACAATTTGAGGGACTACAACACAAGACATTATATTAGTCAGGATTCTCCAAAGAAACAGAACCAATAGGATGTGCATATATCCAGAAAGAGATTTATTACAAGGAATTGGCTCATGCAGTTATGAGGGCTGGCCAATCCAAATCTGCAGTGTGGGCTGGCAGGCCTGAGACCCAGGAGATCTGATGCCATAGCTCCAGTCTGAGGGCCAGCAGGTAGAGATCCAGAAAAGTCAGTGTGCAGATGGGGTCCCAAGACAGTCTGCTGAAGATTTCCCTCTTGCTTGGGGAGGCCAGTCTTTTTGTTCTATTTAAGCTATCAAGTGATTAGATGAGGCCCACCTGCATTGCAGAGGACAATCTGCTTTAGTCAGAGTTCACTTAATTAAATGTGAATTTCATCTCAGAACACATTCCAAGTTGACATATAAAATCAACCATCACAGGCAGTGTGGTTACTAAGGCAACAGGAAACTGTTGTGGGAGGGCAGGGTAAGCTGACATCAGGCATTTGTGCAGAGGGATATCCACTTAGCTACAAACACTCACCCGGGAGAATATGGCTGGGTTTTCAGTCCCACTTTCACAGCATTAAATGCTAGGTATTCACTTAAATGGGCAGAGTTGGAAAATCTAAGCAGCGACATTGCTCTAAGAGAGATGTGTTCATATGACAGGACCAAAGTCAGCTTGACTAAGGGTCAAGTAGAAGATTGGGTAAAGTACCAGGAACCCCATCACACTCACCAGGCTTCAGGGAAGACTATGACATGGGGTGAGCACCAGACAGGGCACTGGACAGGCGAACTCATGAGAACTAAAGAGAGAAAACCTAAGTTAAAGCCCCAGTCCTGTGCTCAGAGCCAATCCAGAGCTGAGAGGGAAGGAGAGGGTAGACAAGCACTGAGGGGCTCCTCAGAGGCCGCAGCCTGGCACCTCATTCACCACAACTTGGTCCTGCTCAGAGATGTGTGTGGCTCAGGTAAGGTCTGAATTATGGCATCCAAGGTTCCTAGTTCTGGGTTATGGAATCCTAGGTGAAGTTTACAGTGAAGTTAGCTTTGATGAAGTGGAGAAAACAGAGGTAGATAAAATGAGGACACAGATCTGTGGAAATTAGAAGCTGGCATTAACAGTTTTGTTCCTGTGGATAAGTAGCCTTCTAACATTGCCTAGTACTGCTTTAGGAAAACATCTGTCCACCAAAATCTTCTGAGTCATACTCACTCAAAGGAATACTTCTCATTCATCTGTCACTGCATTCTGACACACAGAAAGTGGTGCCTTCATTCCATAATCTCAAATCAACAAAAAGAAAGGGCCAAAAATTCCAGTTTCTCTCACTGAGTGAAGATCCAAATAGCTTAGAGCAGCATTTCCTAAAAACAGGTAAGAATTCACTGTGCTTTATCAAATTTGCAGAGAAATTCTTGGCTTATTTCAAGGCCACATTATATGAAAGGAAAGATAAATCTAGCAAGCATCTATTTTAGCAGCTAAGAAAGATGTGAGAGATTTATTTGTATAACAGAGCTTTTGGGGGAGCTACTATTAATAGTATAGCTGATTCCTGTTATCAATCAATGTATTCATCCAAAAGCAAAGTATCTTCTAAATCAAAATGTAGTGTATCTCTTTGGACAAGATCCACTTTCCTACTTCCAAGTTCACGGTGATAAAGCATGATGGATTATTTAGCTTCTTAAGAAGTGTTCAAAAGCTTTTTTTAGAGAAAACTCACTTAATGGAATAGTCCCCTTTCTCCACTTTTAAGTGTGCAAACACCTACCTTCTATAACTTAAGTGGGGAAATGTTAACAGGCTAATAAAATATAGTAAAGGTCCTATGTTTTTAAATTGTTCAAATATCTGTGTTTTTCTGAATTCAGACTCTCAGACAAGAAGTTTGATATGATTCATATGAAGCTCGAAATTACATTAAAGGTAAGAGTGAAGCCCCCACACATTAATTCCTTTAAGAATTTTAAGTGTCAGGAATGAATGAAATGGTTTGTCCAACAACTCTTGGCTTCAATTACTCCTACATGAAGACATTATCATAATGAAGACCTAAATCTATGGGAGACAGAAGACTAGAGTTCACTGACCAAAGTCACTCAAATCAAGAAAGGATGGTGGTCAACTGGAATGGAGAGGAAATCACAGCGTTTCTCCCAGTGGATTGGTTTTTGATACTGAATTCCAAATTCCTCCTGTTGTGAACTAAGTTAAGCTGGTTTGATTATCTAAAAACAGCCAAAGCCTTTGTAAAAGCCTCTGGCAATAAAAGCCAGATGGGATGTAACAATGAAAGCAAGTCTTAGACAAGATTCTGCTGGAATGCAAACATTTATGGGCAACTAAATAGAGTCCTTCACCACTTGTTCTTGGAAACTCAGAGTTCCCCTCTGTCTTCAGGTCTTTTAGGAGAATCTTGCATGAGAGGTTTACTCTGAGGAGGATGTCCAGTACTGCAAGGAAGCATCATCTTACCTTCTAGTCTTTTCTGCAGGGAAACACACCCAAACAGAGCTCAGTTCTAGCTCTATAAGGCTGCTGGGCCTGCCAGCGTTGGACCTTTTTCATTTAAGACCAATAGTGCCCATACACTCCTTCTGGCCAACCCCTTAGTTTGACCAGTAATTATTTCAATGATATAAGATTATTTTCTAACAATTCTCATGCTGAAAAACAAAGCCCTGATATGAATTTTGACACAATATTGGAAGTGTTTGCGTAGACTCTGTAATAGTTTTCTGTATCAACTTGGCTAGGCTATAGTGTCCAATTGTTTGGTTAAACACCAGTCTAGATGTTGCTGTGAAGTTATTTTTTTATATGTGATTAACATTTATAATCAGCAGGCTTTAAGTAAAGGACGTTACCCTCCATGATGTAGGTGGGTCTCATCCAGTCAGCTCAAGCTCTTAAAAGCAAAGACTGAGCTTCCCCAAGGAAGAAATAATTCTTCCTCAAGACTCCAACATAGAAACCCTGCTGTTTGAGTTTTTGGTCTGCCCTACAAATTTGAAACTTGCCAGCTGCCATGAGCACCACGAGTCAAAATAAAATAAACCTCTTTCACACACACACACACACACACACACACACACACACACACACTGTTTGTTTTTTGGGAGAACCCAGGCTAACAAAAGATCTCTAAGGAACACAGACTCCTGATTTGGGTACTTCAAGTGCTAACTAACCACTTGTAAAGTGTACATTACAGGTCACTTAATCTCACACACATTCAAAGTAAATTACCACCTAGACAATATGTCACCTTGTTCTGTGGGTCTCTTCCCTCATGTACCTTCTATTTATTTTTTCCCTCATTTGAAATTATCAGTTAAGTAGACACAGAGATAACTTCTCTCCAGTACACTTTTCCAGTAATGTTTATGTAGCTCCCAAAAGCTTCATTCAAGACCTTGAGAACTTACTACAGTAACTATAAGTATGTGAAGAGTTACATAGGGTGATAGTTTTGCTTTCCATGGGTAAGCTGTCATGCAATGTAGTAGTGAGTAAGCTAGCTATTCTAGGTGAAATTCTCCTCCCCAAATTATACCATCTCCTGAATGTACTCACTGCTCATTCATTAGAAGCCTTCAGAGCTGCAATCCTCACTATAGCAAAAACCAACATGCACATTTATAGCCTCTGCCTCTACTGTGAGTATCACAAATAATATGTTCAGAAGTCAGAGTAAGGAGGAAGGTTCCATGAATCTGTGTCTGGTTCTGAACACCCATTGTTTTCACTCCACTGTGGCTCACTGGACAACATGTAAAACTGTGAACGAAATTATTCCAAAGGAATCCATATTTAGGTGGTTTTTAAAAAGGGACATCTCCTCGAAGTACTTTGTCATTGTTTTCAAAAGTAGGAATGTGGCAAGTGAGAATTTTTTTCAACATTACTTGAAAGTCCACCTAATTTATCTACACCTTTCAAATATGTGGGTGAACATATCTCTAAGAAAGTAACACAGAATACCAGTCCTTTAAAAAGCCTCTGAAAAAGGGGTTATATATGATTAAATAAAGTTTAGAGATGCTTTTTACTATACATGTCCCTACCTCCACCAGAAATTCACAAAGCGTAGAGCAAAGGCCATGAAGCCCTTCAGTAGAGAATTTTGTTTAATTTTGTTAAACTTAGTGTTTCTGAAATGCATTTGATAACAGAATCTTTACTTTGAGTAACTTTCCTTAACAGTCCATAAAATGTTGGAATGTACTTTGAAAAATGTGGACATAAACTATTCCAGACAGAATGAGGTTAAAAAGAAAAGTTTCCACATTAGGAGATTCTGTTAACTTCTCTCAAGAAGTCATCTCAGTGTCTGGCAAACAGAAAATCTTTCTGCATCTGAGATAAATCCTTCATGATACATTTTAAACACTCCCTGCTATTGTGTACTCTGTGGAGAAGAACAGCTGGTCACCATTTTCCACGTGAGAAATCATTTTTCATTTAGAGACATTTATTAGGCCATCTATCTACCTTCTTTGCCACAAGAATAAGTACAATGATTAAATCTTTCTTAGATATTCATCTTCTACAAGTGTTAACTATCTTTGTGGCTCGACTTGAAATCATCTACTTTCTCCATTACATTTTTAAGTTAGAAAGACCATATATGTAGTTACTCTATTAGAAATATGACCTGGACTTAGTACCATGGTGCTTACAGATTACTGTGGAGTAGTACCTTGTGTGGGAATTGGGTCGAAAAGTCAGCGGGTTATACCAAATAAAGTAGTTGGCTTCTCAGAGGCCATGTTGTATGAAAAAATGCCTATCTTTCAACACTAGAATCCCGTTTGCCACAGCAAGATGCTCACACCACGAGGGCTCACAGGAACTGGAACCGGAACTGACTAAGAGAAGAACAAATCCATATCTCTCATCTGCTCTCTCCTGGGACTGCTCCCAGTGGGAGCAAAACTAAGAATTTTATCCACACTATTAAAGTCGTTATTTTCTCTCTTTTCATTTTTTTGCTTTTGATTTTTTAAATCGATCTAGTATAGTTGAATTTGTGTAAATGTACCTACGATGCAAATAACTATATGTCAAAATGCATTTGATTATCATTGTGGTTAAGTTTTTTTAAAAATCTATTTAGTATATTCTAGGTACAAGGAAGAGGAGTCTTTATTTATTATTTGTTTTAATTTGTTTCAATGAACATTCAATAAACAATTACTATAGGCAAAGAGAGGTGGAACCATTGGGCAAAAAAAAGTAACTCTGATCCAACCTCTGGCCTCAGACTTCATATTTGATGCAGATAAGGATAAACAAAACCAAAATCAAAATAAGACTGTATTAAGTATCATAATTGTATAGGAAGTGAAGAAATTCATTCTGCTTAAATCATGGAAGAATGTTGCCCCAAGAAGTACCCTTTGAATCAGGTCTTGCACAACAAGCAGGATTTTACTAAATATAGAAAAGTGCATGTGTGTGTGTAAATGTATAGTTGGGGGGGGCAGTTTTATGCCAATGGATCAAAAGACAAGTAGATATGAAATTAGTATTCTGTGTCAGAAAGAGCCCATAATCTGGAACTTTGCTCCTTGTGTTGCTGGGAGGTTGGATAAATAAGGGAACAACAAAAAAAATTAAAAAATAAAAAATAAGGGGAAACAACAAGAACTGAAGTGGGAAAGATGGCTGGAGCCAGATTGGGAAGGACCCTGAATGCCCCACTAAGGAATATGGACTTAATGGAGAACAAAGAGACCATGATGAATTCTTGATAGGGGAGTGACATGTTTAGATCAATCCATGGTGGAATGAATGAAATGGAAGTAGGGCAAACCAAGCTCCTCAAGGCAGCTAGTAGGTCTTATTCTTTCTCTTTGCCCCACTCAGCATAATATTTGGTATTTTGTCTTATACTTTACCACTGTGTTTTTCTTGCAAAGGCATTGCCCTGCATATATATATATATATCTCCCTCTTACTACCATAAAAGCTATTCTGCTTCACTCAAATACTTTGCTAGTTTCATAGGAATTTTTCATTTCCATCAAGTTCTCTGGGAGGATCCCCATACAGTGCAGTATATATAGCTATATACATAGCTGCTAACTGTGACTAGTCATGCTACTCCAACATCAGGCCCCTGCCTATGAGAGACACAGAAAGGACAAGTGGCACATGAATGATGAAGGGAAATAATGGACAGGAACCTTCCACTACACTTCTTTTGTGTGAGTCTTCTTGGAAACTTTCCCATTCTCGGCATTAGTACTCCTAGTAATACAGGGCTATTGATCATTCATTTGTCCAAGCAATATGCTTCTGACACTAAATAAATACAGGTTTTATTCTAGGCTCTCTGGGCTATATCAACAAGCAAAACAGGGGAAGATTCCATGCTAACATTCTACTTGGGAAGGGAGATCATCAGGGAAACAGATAATAAGCAATAAATAGAAATAAACTGTACATCATATTAGAAGGTAATAAGTGCTATGAAAAAAATTAGCGATTGAACAGATAAAGAGTACCTGAAGGGTATCATGGGCCAGGATGAGTTGCAATTAAATATGATGAGTCAACCTGCTCAACATCATTAATTATAATGAAAATCAAAATTAAAGTCACCATGAGATACTACTTCATGCTTACTAAATTGGCTAAAATGAAAATGACTGATAAGAGCAAATATTGATTAGGAAACGAGAACTCTCATGTTGCTATCAAAATGTAAAAGGGACAACGACTATAAAACTGTTTCAGGTAATGATAGTGCCTGGAACTAGAATGGTAGTGGTAGAGGTTAAAAGATTGAATGCAGGGGCTCCTGGGTGGCTCAGTCAGTTAAGCCTCTGCCTTCGGCTCAGGTAATGATTCCAGGGTCCTGGGATCCAGCCCCACATCAGGCTCCCTGCTCCCTCTGCAGCTCCCCTTGTTTGTGTTCTCTCTCTGTCAAATAAATAAATAAAATCTTAAAAAAAAAAAAGATTGAATGCATTTTAAGGAAAGAGCCAACAGGCTTTATGATGGACTAAATATATTATGTATTAAAGAGGAGTCTATGGCAATCCAAGATTTTTGGTCTGAAAAACTGGAACAGTAGGCTTGATGATTAATAGATAGGAAAGATTTCAGGAAGTGAAAGTTGAGGTGGTAGAAATCAGAAATTCTGTTCTGGACATATTAAATTTGAGATGCATATTTTTATAACCAGTAGGAGACATAATTTAGACAATTTTACATGACTTGGAAGTTTGGAGAAGTCCAAGCAGAAGACCTAAATATTGAGTTTCACACTCTCCAGATGGTATTGAAAGCCAAGAGACTAGGATGAGATCACTGTAGAAATAAAGATAATTCATAGGCTAGCAGAAGTCCATGGATGAGCCTTGGAGTATTACAACATTTAGAAGTAAGGGAAATGAGGAAGTGACTGAGAAAAGGTGTCCAGTGAGGCAAAAGGAAACTCTAAATAAGTGAGGACAAATGAAGAGAGTGTTTCAAGGAGGAAGAAAAAATGAACACAGTTGAATGAGCTGAAAGGTCAAGATGAGGCTGAGAACTGACCACTGCATTTGAAAATGTGATTTTTGATCACCTCAGTAAGAGTCACTTTCATGGTATGGTAAAAACAGAAGCCTACCTGGAAAGCATTCAAGAAAGAAGAGAGGTATAAAGGCAATGTGTGTCTATAATGATTATGAATTTTTTTCAATGAAAAGGGAATTTAGAAATGAGGCAGTAGTTGAAAGGAAATGTGAGATCAAGGGAGGGTTTGAATAGATGGACGGATGGAAAGTCACCTCAAGTGGGAAAAAAAAAAAACACCTTCAAATCACCCTTCCAATGGGGGTTCCATTGCCTCATACCATGATGAAAAGATATATCATTGTTTTGGTCATTATTAGGCAAGTCAGATCTCCTCCTGTACCCCCAACCCCACTCAACATTCTCCTCTTATAACTAGGCCATATGATTGTAAAATATATAATAAAAATAACCCCAAACCTCAAGACACCTTGTGAGAATGTCGTAAAAAACCAATACCAAATAAATTACTCATAAATAAAATTCAATGATGTTTCTTGTTGTTATACAGGGAAACCACATTAGAAGATATAAGAAATAAAGAACTATAAAAAATAGATCCAATGACAATCAAACCTAGACTGGTTATTTTCCTGATTTATGTCACTATTTATTACAAATCAAATGCTTAGTCCAGCTTAAATCTGCAAGAGTCATAAAGGAAATCCAAGTACATTTTCAGACTATGGTCCTCCTGGGGTATAACATTAACTATTCACAGAAGAAAATGGAATAATCAGACTTCATAGTTTTAATTCCTTTGATCTCTAATGTACATACATTCCAATGGGGTGATTATTCTAATCACAATGGTCAACAACAAATTAGTTCATTTAAAAATTCTATGCTAACAAAGGACTGAATTCAATGCTAAATTCTTAAATGACGGTTTGCATGATGTAATATAGGTTCAAATTCAGTCTTAAGTGCAGGTAGAATAGGAGTAGTAGGAGGACATGATGGAAAGGCACAGAACGAACCAAGTTCTATACACAAATTCTCACTGTGATTCCCTTTCAGGGGCACAATCCTTAGAGATGCAACCTGAGTTCTTTTGTGATAAATAAGAAGCTAAGCTTGAGGTCCTGAATTTCTAATGCCATGAAAAAACATAAATTTCAACAATCCATATATCCAATCTGTAATTTTTCTAGAGAAAAGCTAATACATCTTAGTGCTTTTACCCAATTCTGCACAATATCTTGTAAAATTTAAATATCTAGAGGAGCCTAGGTGGTAAAGTCGGTTAATCATCCAACTCTTGGTTTCAGCTAGGTTGTGATCTCAGGGTTGTGAGATCAAACCACATGTCAGGCTCCGTGCTTAGTGCAGAGTCTGCTTACAGTTTCCCTATCCCTCTCCCTCTGCTCCCCCTCTCCGCTACCCGCCCCCCACTCACACACACACACACTCTCTCTCTCTTTCTCTCTCTAAAATAAATAAATAAATCTTTAAAAAATGTAAATAGCTATTCTTTGGGTCTCCTACTATGCTAACCCTCCAACTAGTTTGTGGGAATTTTTTTTAAAAATGAGGAGACTTGGGGCACCTGGGTGGTTCACTCGGTTAAGCGTCTGCCTTCGGCTCAGGTCATGATCCCGGGGTCCTGGGATGGAGTCCCACTTTGGGCTCTGCTCAGTGGGGAGTCTGCTTCTCCCTCTCCCTCTGCCTCTGTCTCTCCCCCCAGCTTGTATGCTCTCATGCTCTCTCTCTCTCAAATAAATAGAATATATTTAGAAAAAATAGAATATATTTATTATAGAAATATAACACCTGGTGAGCAGGGCCCTCCCTGCAGTGGGTGGTGTACCCCAGCCCTTGAGGCCTCCGGGTGGGCTGCAACACCTGGTATGTGGCTGGGGGGGGAAGGGGGAGGGCTTGAAAAATATAGAATATATTTATTTAAAAAATGAGGAGACTTGATCTGTAACTCTCTGTATACTCCTGTATCTCTCTGGTTTCTGCTGGTACCACTATACCCCTGACTCACTCGACTGCAGCCCCATTGCTTTCCTATTGCTCCTGAATATGTTAACCATGCTCCTTCCTCAGGATCCTGGCACTTAATTTTCCTCTGCCTAGAATGTTCTTCCCTCAATGATCTAAGTGGCTCATTCTCACAGTTCCTTTTGGAACTTACTTGAAAACTCTGTCTTAATGTCTACACAGTAGTTAACGACACTTAATTCTAATACAGACATACAATTTTATTTATTAATTATTCCCCTCTACTATAATCTAAGTCCATGAGGCCAGAACCTTTGTTTTGTCCGCTGCTCTAATCCCAGAAACTAGACAAGTACTTAGCCTGTACTAGGCACTCAACAAATAGTAAATGTATGAAGGAAGAAAAAAGACTAGAAAGAGCAGCTGCTTTCCCTCTAGTAGTC